TGATCTGTTATCATCACGTACCTTAAACAAAGCAGCTGATACAGTTCTTGCAGATAAGTGCAAACCCCAAACCTGGCTTGCAAAGAGAACCAGAGCCCTGGCCGCCAGCCTCCTCTCTGCACACATGCCCCTGACCCAGCTCTCCTTGCCAGGAGGAGCTGAAGAGCTAACACCAGAAAGCAGCTCTCAAGAGCGTGTCTACCCTCAGGACAAGGCGATAAAGGGCACAGTGTTGAAGGTGTTATCCCTCCACCCTTCCCGTGCAGCAGCCGACAGACACAAGCCCCACCAGGTGACACATAGCAGCACCCTGCCTCACCATCCCTGGGCAGCAGAGGGGAACAGCACTGGGTGCTTGAAGCCATGCCAGAGACCAGAGGGACAGGGAGCATCCATTCGAGTTTCCAAGGATTTAAAAACACAAATACATGCATATGACCTGGTGGAGCCCAAAGGGCCTAATCCTGCTCCAGCACGCTGCCAAGCACCCTGCTTTACCAAGAAAGGATGCTGCTCAGCATTTGAAAGGAGCTGCTTCACATCTGGGCTCTTTTTCTCCCTCTTTCTCCAGTTACAGAGTCAGGTCAGTGCTGCTCAGCCTGTGAGCACAATATGGGAAACAGGTATTATCAAAGAAGCTGCAGTTGACGGTGTGAGCATCACAGCTGGGTGCTATGAGCCTCACAAAGCAGAGAGGGAAAAAGAGTCAGAAAGAATGAAGCCCACCACTCCAGCAAAGTAAAAACAAGAGGCAGTAAAAGTAAGTTAATGATGTTCCAATTTGAGCAATCACCAGTTAAAAATGTGCAATTGAATGAATGCAACATTTAGAAACCCCGGCAAATCCTGACCTGGCATATAAATACGTCCTAGGGTTCCTTTGACATCGCATATCTCATGCCTAGCTACCCACAATTTGTTTTAATGGCACCAGCACCTCCAGGTTTATTCAGGTACCTGTCACTCACCATTGTTTCACATTTACCCCATCTATTTATACCCTCTCCCCTCAACTCTGCACACCAAGCACTCCATATGGGGCAGCAATAACCATTTGATATGTCATAGTTGTGTGATAAATTAGCTCAGCTCATCAACCACCTCCCCTCCCTATGGCAAACAGCCGCAAGACTGGGTCTAATTTATTTAGAGCCTGGAAAAACATCAAATACCTCATCAGAAAACGACCCCATCTTCCACAAAGAATGCTTTTCTGCAGCTTCAAGTGTCAGTTTGCCGCATGTTACACTGGAAAAGGCTCTGCACAAGCAGGATCTAAGCCCAGAACAGGTTGAGAAACTGATACCATCACACCTTGGAAATGGAGGAAAACAGCAGCTCAGGAAAAAGGGAAAGAAAGAACCCTCAAAGGTTGATGTTTGTACCTATGAAAGGTCCCGAGATAATGCATTTACAGCTGCACTAGTTTTGCTTTGGGTATTTAACAAGAGGCTTTACATGCATTATTCTTCCCTCCTTCCAAGCCCTTTGCAGTGATGCTCACGGCTCTTACTATACCTGCGTTTCTAGGAAGAGATACAAATACACCAAAAGAAAAGAGAGAAATCCAGCCAAATCGTTTCAAGCTGCTAAAGGCACTTGTAAGGAAAGCAGCATGAGGAAATACACAGGTGAATCCAAGTTCACACATATATATATAGCTCTAGGAAAGGGGAAAAAAGAAACCAACATTAAAGTACCTTGCACTTTGATATGAGCATATACTGTAGCAAAATATACATGTTGTTTATAAGATATATTGGAAGATGTTTCCCCAAAAGATGCCATAGAAAGTATAGAATTTATTACCTCTGCCTGTCCATTTTACAAAGATATACACAAACAAGTTGCCAAAGCTGCCTGCAGTTTAGCTCCATTAAATCCAATGAATGAGTTTGGCCCACAGAAAACTCTGCACTTACTGTAATAAAGCTAAAAGCTGATAGCAGCTGATACAGTGAAATGCATACATTTCCATACACTTCTTCCTGCTGATTTAGAAACACGATGAGCTACAGAGACTGCCCTTGTCCAGCTAGTACAGAAATGCTGAAATGGAGGAGGCAAAAACCCAAACCTTGGAGTTTTCCCCTCCAGTCTCCCCTAAGCACAAAGGGGAGAGGCGTAGGGGAAGCCAGTGGGGCTGTGTTCACTTGGGTTTTCCCACTGACCACATGCAATGGGTGTGCTTGAACAAAAAGCCCGATGGTTTGGTCCCCAATTGGGCAGAACAAGGGTCACAGGTCTGGACCCCATCCTTGGACACCCAATTCTCCCCTGCTGGTACCCAGAGGGGAGAAAAATGCTCAGGCTCCGGGGCAGAGATGTGGAATACTCCGCTCCACAAGGCATTTGGCCACAATTACGTTTGGAGAGAGCTCTCCAGCCCCTAGGTCATGTTGAATTATACCTTGAACCTTACACTGCATGGGGATGATGCCCGGCAATACAGAAGCTGGACCCAAATGACACCACATAAGCCTCCCCTGATTGATAGGAGGGAGTTTTGTCTGTTGAGGTTTGGGTTTTCTGAATGCATACAGCTTCCATGCTGCTGCCATAACCACACCAACTCCCATCTCCACATCCCTGGCTCCCCGTTGTGTCCCTCTTGCACCCTTATACAAGCTGATCCACACTCTGCACCCTCAATGCCACCTCCTCCTCATGGTGCATGAGGGCTCCAGGTCCCCCTCACCTGGGGTTCACTCACACAGCTCCTGTCTTAGACATTTATTAGTCCTCATTTCTATTAAGGGGTGTCTCAGACAACCCTTGTGCTAGGTTCCGCACCTACATTCACCACTCCAGCAGCCAAACTACACCTCACCTATCACTTCATGCTCTTCCTCCCCTTCCTGCACTCCAAACCCCTGCCACCCTGGCTGCCACTGCTCTCTTCATGGTGTAGCACATATGGGACCAGGGCTCAGGGTCTCCAGCCCCTTCCCCTCAATATCCCCATAGCCCTGCTGCTTTCTCAGCTCTGTCTCCTTCCTCACCCACACTTTGGGGCCATGCATAGCTCCATAGCCATCCCACTGAGCACACCCAGGTCCTCTCCTTCCCCATCAGCCCCCTCTGGGCCCAGTTTGCCAGTGACCATCACACCTCCATCTCACCACACTCAGCCCCAGTGCTGTCCCACCATGGGGCTCACATAGATTCTCCCCAGGCCCTGGGTTCATAGCACCAAATCAATCCAGCAGCTACAATGGATCATGCAAAAGACTGCTCAAAGCTGTGCTCCCAGCATGTATCACCCCTATAGCAGCTTCCCCTCCTCTTCCACCCTTCACCTAAAAGCCTTGCTGATGCTTCCCCATCACAGCTCCAAAAGGCACAACCTACCTGCATCAAGCCCCCAGCACCACATCCTCATCTTCGGAAGCATCCCATTACCCTACAACAGCTCCTCCTTAAATCCCTCTACCCCACTGGGCTTTTCAGTGCTCTTTGCTCAGAAACCACCTAATCCCAGGCTTTTCCTACACCTGGAGTTAACACCAATTCACAGCCAAGCGCCAGTAGCTGGGATGCTGCGGGTGTTGCTGTGCTGCTGTTGTAGCTTTTCCTGGTGTGAAATCCCAGCCCTGGAGCAAGCAGCAGAGAAACTCCACGCAGACCAGCACAGCTAGGATGTGTGGGACACTGGGCTTCACTGGCACAACCTCATCACTGGTCCCCAGCACATGCACAGGGAAAATAAGCATCATTAAAACATGCCTGAGGATGGGGCTGAGAGTACAAACAGGCAGGACAGCACTGGGCTCTCTGAGGCATGGACCACATCCTGTCCCCATCACAGCTTTTCCAACCACAGCACTACATCCAGAGCTCGACTCGGAAACCTCGGAAGCACCGGACACATCCTTCTGTTTGCATGCACTGTGCATAGGATGGGAGAGCTGTAATAAATAATCCATAGCTCATAATAATAAACCTTGCACCTCTAACAAACCAAAAGCCTGACCTTTCATAGTTAAGGCGTCCTGGTGAGAGGTTAGCTCTTGTGTTTTGTGATCATCAAACAGGAAAGCATTAGCCAGACAGGGAGAACAAGCTCTTATCTAGACCTGATTTCTCTCCCCTCCAGGGGATCCTGTAGGATATTTCAGTTCTCTCTCACTCTCTGTATGACTCTTCCCTCCCTCAGTTGCTTGAAATCAGCCAAATTCACAATCTAATCTGGCCCGGAGTCAAAGGGGAGAAAAATCAAGTCCTAATGCAGTGACTACTTTGAATGGGGAATTGAAGCCAATCAGAAAGGCATTATTGATCCCCGCTCGGAGCACCTCGGTCAGGGAGGGGAACGCTGCGGGCAGCCGCAGAGCTGCCCACCGCAGCCAGCCCGGCTGCCCTGCCAGGCCTGCAGCTCACACAGCACTCACCCGGGCTGGGAGCCAGCCCCATCCCACACGAGTTCCCTGCCTGAGAGAGCACCCAGGGCACCCCTGCACCAGCACTGGTACCCCACGTGTGTGTGCGAGAGCGTGACCCACCGCGGGTGTCTGTGCACAAGCCCTTCTAGCGCGCATCGCTTCGGAGTGGACCCATCTGAGAGAGGAAGGCTGCTACAGCAAGCGGGGTGTGTGTGCATGTGCATGGGCAGCATTAGTGCAAGGCAAAGCGCGGGCTGCAGGGCTGGGAAGAGAGTGTCAGTGTGTATGTATGTGTGTGTGCATGTGTAAGCCTGTGTAAGCATATGTATATGTGTAAGCGTGTGTGTGTGTGTGTGTGTGTGTGTGTGTGTATGCATGTGTATACCTGTCCCCACCAGCTGCCCACCTGCATGACCCACAAGCACAGTCCCTGCAGTGGGCAGAGGGAAGGAGGTAGCGGGCAGGGGGAAGGAGGCAGCTCACCCCAAGCAGTGAGGCAGGGGATGGAGAGCAGTCGAACGGTGCCAGGCTCCTCTCTGGGCATCCTCGGGTGAGCTCCCGGTGCTTCAGCCGGTGCTAGCGCTACACACTCCTCTGCCTTATGTAACGTCAGCGGGGATGCAGAGCGGGGCAGAGGAGCTCCCCACTGACCCCATCCCGAAGCAGCACCTGGACTCCCCCCCCAGTAGGGTTGGATCTAGAAGCCAGGCCGAGGAGGTTCCATTGCCGGCGGCCGCGCTGGGCCCGCCTCGGGGCTGCCCCGCTGCGGGACAGGTCCGGCCGCCGGTGCCGGTCACCTCCGAGACGCTGCCGCCCTGGCTCGGCAGGGCCAGGGCACGGCTTCCGCTGCGGAGGGGCTGTCCCGGGGAAGGGGCTCAACCCGGAGTCCCCCAAAGCCGGAGCCAGCGGGGAAGCGGGGCGGCAGTACCGGGAGATGGGGAAAGGGGGGGGAGTCCTGGGAAGTTCGGGGAATCCCACATCTGGCAGGAGGGAAACAGCCCCCCTAAAATAAATTAGTAAAATGAATAAATAAATGAAGTAAATTAAACCCCGAACACGCGGGGTACCGCTAGCTCCTGCCCCCCCTCCTCGGGCTGTGCCCCCCAACCTGCCATCGCGGGGCTGTGCGACCACCGGCACCTCCTTACCTGCCGGCGTCACATCTGCTGCTGCTGCCTGCCCTGCTCCGGCTCTTCCTTCTTCTTCCTTCTTCCTCCTTCTGCTTCTTCCTCCTCTTTCCTCCTCCTCCTCTCTCCCTCTCCCTGCTGCTTGGGGCTCTTTATGGAGATTCATTCATTCATGCCTTCCCATCGGTCCCTCAGCGTTTCCCTGCCTCCCGGAGGCAGAGCGTGTGACGCCTCGCCCCTTTCCAGCCACTTTCTGCTGTCACAGAGCGGCGCTGCCCCAGCCCGCAGCGGCTGCCGGGACTGGGACACGCGGCTCCGGGCCCTGGGACAGACCCCAGCTCGGGGTCCGGGGGGTAGGCACGGCACTGACCCGCCCCGGGGGGATTACAGGCGGTCTCAAGCGCCCGTCAACGAGGCGTCGGGTCTCCCTTCATCAGCCCCATCCCACTCCCCGCCCCCACCGAGCAGCGGCTGCCGACGAGAGGGAGCGGATGGGCCCGTACCCCCCGAGTATCCCTCGGCCCCTCTTCCCCTCTCTGCTCTCCCGCAGACCGTCCTTGCTGCCCCTCTCCTGCTGCCTCCGCCGCAGGACCGCATCCCGCTCCGCGCAGCGCTGCCCCATCCACGCCGCTTACAAAAGCGCTGACTCAAGCTCGGAGCGGCTGAGCCCGGCTTGGGGAGCCCGAGACCCGCTGCCAGCCGGGCACCGAACCCCGGCCCGAGTGCCCCCCCCCCATATCCTGGCGTCCTCCAGGTCACCGAGCCAAGCTCACTCCTGCCCCAGCCCTCCCCAAGACGGGGGTCACCCCGCTGCCCAGCGCTGCTTGCACCCTCGCTGCACTTTGAGGATGCTGGAGGCACCCTCCGGCCCCCATTGAAAGCACGGCGCTGCCCATTCCCCCCCACTGCATCTACACCCTCCAGGCCGGGGCAAAACAGAGGGTCTGGACTGATCTAAGCCCCGCAAGGTGCCAGGCTGGAAGTGCTGGAGGGGGATGTTTTAGGTGCTAAACTTCGAGGTGGTGGGGGGGGAGGCAGGGATGCCTCCTCTCTGCACAGACACCGGCTTGTTCTTTCCAGCCAGGCAGGGCGGAAAAATCCGCTTTTTCCCTTAAAGACACCGTCGGAAATGTGAAGAGCAGCGTCTGGGTTTGGGCGCTGCCGGAGCCTTGAAGCGACAAGCCGTTAATATGGGGTGAAACCCCTTAAAAATACTCCGAAGGGCCCCGCCCGCTCCCCGGTGAGCCGTGCCGTTTGTACAGGCGGTGCCACCCCCTTTGCCAACGTTGCCATCAATTTCTATTAACGATCCCTTTATTCACCGCTGCAAACTTCTTAATATTTCATAGCGTGCAAAACCGGCACCGAAACGCTCGGAGCTGATGGAAGGAGGCGAGAACCCGGTGTGAGCGGCCGCGACCGGCTGAGCTTGGCTGCCCCAGCCCCGGGTGAGCCTGTTGATACAGGGCCCCCCTTCCACCTCCCCTCCTTTCCGTGGGGCTTTCCCCGGGGCTGCAAATCACAGCCTGGACGTGGTTCCCACGGGCTGCCCGTCCGGGGGAAGGCAGGGATGAGCGGAGATGCGGAGGTTTCTGGACGGGAAGAGAGGGAGAAGGAGAGGAGGATGCGAGGACCCCGACGGCCAGCATGTCTCCATCACCGGGACTGCTGCTGCCGCCCGGGTCCCGCCGCGCACGGGTGAAGCAGCCTCTCTCCACGTCGAGCGGGATGGGGCTGAGGACCACAAGGCTGTTTGGGGTGGTTGGAGGGGTCCTGCTCGGGGGGAAGCTGCCCCCCACTCGCCCTGGCATCCCCGGGTACTGCCTCACCCGTAATATGCGGCAGGACCCGGGCAGGAGGGGTCCTGCATAGGGACCCCCCCGAAGAAGGAGGGAGGCATCCCAGCCTCACGCCGGGGTGCGGACGGGGCACCCCCCTCGAGCCCCCCTCATCTTCATTAAAGCTTCATTAAAATCAATCAAGCAAATTCTTTGGCAACTCCGGCCGCGGTTCAACGCCCGCCCCGGTCCCGCGGGCTCAGCCTGAATTTGGGAACTGAGACGGAACTTTACAGCAACGTCTGTCATTAGAATTAAAACTGCAACACACCCACGGGGGAGGAACACGCTCCCGCCTGTCCCCCGCTCCCTGCTTTAAAAACAAGCAAGCGAGAGCGGCTCAAACTCACAGAACGGCCCCTGCTCCCCGCTTCCACCCGCAGCCGCACCGGGACAGGATGCTGCCCCCGGCCGGATGCTGTATGCCCCCCCCCATCACCGGATCAGGGACCCCCACGCCCGTCCCCCTCCACTGGTTTTCCTTAATTAAAGCTCTATGTGCAGCACGTTTCGCGAGGACCGAAATAGCCGCTGGAGGAGCGCATGTGGGGAGGCAGGTCCGAGCTGCCGGCGTGGGAATGCAGAGGGATTGGGGGGGGGGCAAAGGGGGAGAGAGCCTGGAGTGGCTGTACCCCAGCCCTCAGGCGTGGGGCCACCGGGGTTATTAGGGTGCTGAGACAGACACATACACACATACAGCCCCATTCCCGGAGCAGAAGACCCCCATCCCCAGCAGGACACTACTGCCCGCGGCACCGGCTCTAACCCCGGAGCACCGGGGCTTCCCGCGGGCAACAGTTGCAGCGGCGGCAGGGATGCACCCCGCAGGCACAGGGATGCACCCCGCAAGCGGGGGGGGGATGCACGCACACACCCTAGGGTTGGGATCCCCCATGGACAGGGGATGCTCCCCCGGCTCCGCGCCCTCGACCCGGCCGGGGGGAGCTCCGGGCCCGCCCGCCCCGTCGCACAGGGGTAGCCGGATCCCCCGGACCCCCGCCCCGCGGTCCCCGCCCGCTGAGCCCCATCCTGCGCTGCAGCCTCCGAAAGTTTGGCGACAGGGAGCGGCCACCGAGGGCTGCGTGGGGCTCGCCGGGCACTCGGGGTCCCCGGGCACCGCGGTGGGGAGACACCGGGGGGCTCAGCCGGGGGTCGGTGGCGGGAGGAAGGGAGGGGGATGAACGTGCGGGCTGCGGCGGGGGGCTGCGGGCGCACTTACCTGCTTCGGCGGCGTCTCCCGGCGCTCGGCGGCGCGCCCAGCCCCGAGGCGCGGTGATGGGCGGCGGGAGCACCCGCGGCTGCGGCTCCCCGCGCCCTTCCAGGCGGGCGGACCGGGGGCAGGAGGCGGGCAGGGAAACGCAGCCTGAGCCGAGCAAATCCCAGTGCTGGAGCCGGCCTCCGAGAAGAGAAGGGCTGCAGCTCCTCACTGCGTCAGGCGGAGAGCCCTGCCCGTGCAGGCGGCGCCGGGCAGCGCTGCCAGGCCCGGGGGGCTCCCATCGGCACGGCTCGGCTCGGATGGGGGGGGCTCGGCTCGGCTCGGCTCGGCTCGGCTCGGCTCGGCGGTGCGGCTCGGCTCGGCTCGGCCTAGCACGGTCCGGTTCGGCTCGGTACGGCTCTTTTCGGCATAGCTCGGCTCGGCACGGCCCAGCTCGGTGGAGCCTGGCTCATCCTGGCTCGGTGCGACCCGGCTGGGTCCGGGCGCGCTGTCATGACATGGAGCGATAAGCGGCTTGTCCAGTAGAGCCGGGCTGGGAGCGGGGCAGGGGAGTGGGGATGCCTGTATTTGTGTGTGTGACACTGTGTGTGCATGTGTGCCACTGTGTGTGTGCCACTTGATGTGTGTGACACTGTGTGTGCATGTGTGCCACTGTGTGACACTTGATGCGTGTGACACTGTGTGTGCATGTGTGCCACTGTGTGTGTGCCACCTGATGTGTGTGACACTGTGTGTGCATGTGTGCCACTGTGTGTGTGCCACTTGATGTGTGTGACACTGTGTGCATGTGTGCCACTGTGTGTGTGCCACTTGATGTGTGTGACACTGTGTGCATGTGTGCCACTGTGTGTGTGCCACTTGATGTGTGTGACACTGTGTGTGCATGTGTGCCACTGTGTGTGTGCCACTTGATGTGTGTGACACTGTGTGTGCATGTGTGCCACTGTGTGTGTGCCACTTGATGTGTGTGACACTGTGTGTGCATGTGTGCCACTGTGTGTGTGCCACTTGATGTGTGTGACACTGTGTGTGTGCCACTTGATGTGTGTGACACTGTGTGTGCATGTGTGCCACTGTGTGTGTGCCACTTGATGTGTGTGACACTGTGTGTGCATGTGTGCCACTGTGTGTGTGCCACTTGATGTGTGTGACACTGTGTGTGTGTGTGTGTGTTGTGTGTGTGTGTGTGTGTGTGTGTGTGTGTGTGTGTGGTGTGTGTGTGTGTGTGTGTGTTGGTGTGTGTGTGTGTGTGTTGTGTGTGTGTGTGTGTGTGTGCCACTGTGTGTGTGCCACTTGATGTGTGTGACACTGCGTGTGCATGTGTGCCACTGTGTGTGTGCCACTTGATGTGTGTGACACTGCGTGTGCATGTGTGACACTGTGTGTGTGCCACTTGAGGTGTGTGACACTGTGTGTGTGCCACTTGATGTGTGTGACACTGTGTGCATGTGTGCCACTGTGTGTGTGCCACTTGATGTGTGTGACACTGCGTGTGCATGTGTGACACTGTGTGTGTGCCACTTGATGTGTGTGACACTGTGTGTGCAACACAGACACTGCGTGTGTTGACACCTCGCGGGGGGGGTGAGTAGTGCTGGGGAGGGGTTTGTGAAGGTGTGAGTGTGTCTGTCGGGGACATCTGCCTCTGTGTGTGTGTGACACTGGTTGTGTGTGTGTGTGGTGACATACTGCGGGGGGTGCGGGGATGGCGGTGTGGGGTGTGTGTCTGTATGTCGGGGGGGATCTGTGTGTGTGTGACAGGCCGTGGGGGAGCGTGTCTGTATTAATGCACATGTGTGTCTGTCTGTGAGCCCATGTGAGCATCTCTATGTGTGTCCCCACGTGGGCATGGTGTGTGAACGACATCATGGGGATACCCTCCCACCAAACCTGAACCTCCATGGGTCAATCTGGGCCCAGCTGGGCAGCACCCGGTGACACTGGGACCACAGGGAGAGCCAGGACACTGATGGGGCTGGATTGGGACCCCATCCACAGCCCCCAGGGTCCCCAGCACCCTGTGCTCAGCCCTTTCCCATCTCCCTGCCCCAGACAACCTCTTACCTGACCAAGATCCTTCCATCCCACCTTCCTGTTTGGGGGTTTATGCTGTTTTAGCATCACAACACACAACTTCAGGGTGACTGGCACTGAGACAGCCCTCAGGATAAAAGTGCTCTTCTCTCTCCTCAGGCATTATCATTGGAGGTAAGAACTGGCCAGTGCATTTCTTGTGATGCCCCAAGGTGTCTCAAGCCATCTCCAAATGCATCTCCATGCCTGTGAGTGCTTTTTGCAGCCCTGCACGGGGGTGGCAGGGGAGACAGAGAAGGTGGGGTGCAGGAGAGACATTTCATTCCTTTCAGTTTAATAGCAACACCACCAGCACAGCCAAAAAACCTCAAGTGTGGAGTAATAGAGCTGGGAGACAGCCTGGGAACAGGCGAGCCATGGCCCCTCTCCAGACAGCAGCTGGCAACCTGGCACAGTGCTCACTGCATTAGACACAGCCCTGGGAAAGCGCCCATGGAAAGGCAGGGGCACCCCTGTGTGATGGAGAGGACAGGGCAGGGAGAGGAGCTGCAGCATCCTCTGCTCCACAGCCCGCATCTGCCCCCCTGTGGGGCTTGGTCTCTGTGTGCGCAGGTTGTTCTGGGGTTCTTCCATTCCCCTTCCCCTTTTGTTTCCCCTTCCCGCCTTCCCCTTTTCCCTTTCCCTTTTCCATTTCCCTGCCCCTTCCCAACCACCACTTGGACCCACACTCTTGAAGCACAGGAAACCCCTCCCTCCCTGGAGTAGGGATATCCCACTTCTCCCACATCCATTGGATGCCCTAAAGTCAAGGAGCTCCCACTTAAATTGCTTTGGACAAATAAATGCAAAAGCAGTCATATGAAATAGGCAGGGGCCTACCATGAGAGCACTATGGGGTCAAGTGTCTTCCATCCTTCCTGTGCCTTTGCTGGGGAAGGCTCTCCAGCCCATGGCTTGCATGAGCAAGCTGTCACATCTCCCTAGGCAGTGAAGGACGCTGCCAGGTCCCTCCTGGTGCCAGGAATGGGGTGTTCCAGGGTGCAGCCCCCTCCTTGGTGCCTCACAGCCCATGTGGCAGCCAGAAGCACTGTGGGTTCAGGCCAGCCCTGGAGCTGGGTCTGTCCCGTGGCACCTGTAAGGAATCACCTGGAACGGACAGGGATGCCCCCAGCACTATGTTCCAGTGCAGGTCTTACCCACAGAGGCCAGCAAGCAAGGACAGGGAGGGTTTGCAAAAGGCTCTTCACACCCAGCTCCCCAGAACTACTTGGGGAGAGGAAGACCCCCAAGCCTCACCCATGGATCAAGGACAGGCTTTAAAGGAGCACCATTCCTACCAGGCCAATGGAGGGGGTGGTGAAAAGACCCAGTGCAATCTAACAACTTTGCAACTCAAGATAAATTAATAAAAGAAGTAAGTACTTCTGAGTGAGCTGTTCCAGTTCTGAGAGGAACTGACGCCAGCCCAGCCTCTGGCCCTATATTTAGTAAAAATCTAAACCAGACATTGATAATATTATTAAAGACAGGAAGGAGTAAAAGAAGACGTCGCCTTGCTGGGATGACTGATCTACTTACGCACGACGGCGGGAGTGCTGAGAGAAAGGTGTCTCGGGTCAGGAGAGCCTCTGCTGGGCTCTCAACCAGCGGAAGAAGACTTCTGACACAGCAGGTTCAAGCAGTCCTAACCCAGTTTAACAAGTGGTATGGGAGGGAGAGGTGGTGAATAAAACATGGGCTGCTTCTCCCAGTGATGTGACGGTGGTAATGGGAACAAGAGCTCTTCTGTTGCCTATTGCAGCATCACCTGGAAGGGAAATGCTGGGCAAGGGACAAAGCGTTGGCTGGGCAGGGCTCTGCTCATCCATGCACAACAGGAAGGTGTTAACTTAGATAAGGACTAAGATCAAGGGCTCTGAAATGCGATGTGACCTTGGGTGAGTGACGTCCCTCCTGGCCTTGCTCAGGGCAGAGGCTGAGCTGTCCCCATGCAGTGCCCACAGCAGCAGGGCTCAATCCTGCATTCTCTTTGTGTCACGGAGATTGTGACAGCCTGGTGTCCTCCAAGAGAAGAAAGCACTCCCCATTATAGGGGAGACCAGAAAGGTGGCAACGTGACAGCCTTGCGGCTGCCTCAGTGCAGAGCCTAGGAAAAGAGTACTATGTGCTCCATGGGACCACACGTGGGGCAAGGGATGGAGGTCTGGGGTCTTTTACTCAGTTAGACTGTTCCTCTCTGCCAAAAGGCAATGGCTTCAAGTGTCTTCAAAATCACAAAAGCCTGAACCCCCCCAGTGAAACCCATAACAACAACAACCCACCATGCACAGAGGGTGAACCAGCCTTGCTCCATCCAGAGCTCCAAGGGCTGGGCCTGAAGCTCCTGCTGCAGGCACAAGCAAAATGTGCCACAACAGGGAGGAAAAGGGAGAACGATCCTTATGGGAAGGGCATGATCTTTCCCCCCTCACATCCCTAAGAGACTGGTTGGTGTCCCCCACTGGAGAGTGAGGAGATGCATCCCACCACCAAGTCACCATCCAGCAACACAAGGGGATGCTGCCATGCGGTTCCCAGCCATGTGCCCGTGTGGCTGTGGGTGACTTGCTGTCCAAGGTATAATTTCCTGCAGCCTGAGCTGCTGCTTTGCTGCTGTTGTCAAATCCTATCTAAAAAGCATCAGACTAATTAGAAAATAAAAAATGACATTTTATGGGCTGTTAGTGCTGTAGAGTGGACTAAGGCCTCATGGTATTTAAGGAATGCTTGGAAAACAACTCTGGTATTTACATTTGGGAAAGAGTTACCAGGCTCAGGCAGAAGCTGCATTTCAGAACAGTTTTGTTGAACACACTCAGCCTCGGTGATGACAAATATTACTGCACATCATTACCCCAATTTTTCAGGGTGTTAAAACCTCATCCATTGCGAAACATCTCTGCTGTAGACTTGGGAGGTTGGATGTGTTTTTATAGCTTCCCATTTGTTATGATTTTATTTTGCTTTGAAACTCTGAAGAAGTCAACTTTATGCCAGTGAAAGGGATTAGCAGTAGGGCTGAGGGACCTCTGCCAGCCCACAGCCCAGATGCAGAGTGGTTAGACATCGTGAGTCACTCTGCTTAGGGCCTTCCACCCAAAGCTGGTGGAGACACCCAGGACTGGCTTGCTTTCTAGCCCTACTTTTACTTGCTGAGCCTGGCGGCTAAGGTGATTCCGTGAGGATGATGGAGTTGCCATCCAGACACTCAAGCACTCAACCACATCTCAGAAAAAGACACTTTCTACATCATGTGCTGCTTGCATTGATCACCAAAGTCTCATAATGGGCTTGATTTGGTCCCGTTCCTCCTCACTGATGTCGATTGCTATCTCCCTACTGCACTTGCATCCCTGTGGAGCATAAGAATCCTATGGCTATGACTTTGGCTTAAGGGCAGCAAAGGTTGGGTGTCCACAAAGGCCCCAGGGTCTTATCCTACAGTTGATGGTTTCTCTGGATACCCTGACATGCTACTGTAGTGCAGATTATGTGGTTCTTTCCACCTGAGGACATCCAAGTGAGTAAACAGAGTGAATAATTCACAGTGTGTAATTTCTTTAAAGATCTTTCTCTCTCTCTTTTTACTTCCCTCTCATACACACATTGTCCGTGAAGAGAATAAGAAATACTCCAGTGCATTTGTTCAGTGTTATTCACAAGTCTCTCTGATGAACAACTCGCAGCTTGCAGGTGCTTTCAAGCTAAGGAATCTGACATCAAGTCTTTAGGATGCAATGTGGGTAATGGCCAAACAAAATATACAATCCAAGTTACACATCCCAGGGAAATGTCCAGATCTGATGTCCAAAATCCACACTGTACTCTTAGCTACCTCCAAACATCAGTGGATGGAGAGAAAAGGCTTGATTCTGCCATTCTTAGCACTGCACAGGCCCAAGCATAGACATTATGACCCCCATTTTCACAAGTGGCCACTGATTTGAGGGCATCATTTAAGACATTAAAGGCATGTTACTCATATACAATGCTTAGTCTGTTTTGGGGTGGTGATGGAGGCAAGTCAGTCTGGATCTGAAGGTCTTTAGAGCAAAGCCTTTCCTTTCTTGCTTTGCCTTCAGTTCTCCTACACTCCTTGTGCGCATCTGAGGTCATTTCCACTGACCCTTTGCTCAAGGAATCTCACCTTGCCATGTGTGAGAGACCTCATCTGTCCTTCAAAAGGCAGAGCCAAACCAAGCGATGCTATTCCAGGGCTGTCATTGAGATGAAACTACTCAGCTTCGCCAAAGCCATCCCTGAAGTTGGCCCCCAGCAAGAAAGGTTGAGAGAGAGCACACTCCTGCCTTGGAGACACGTAGAAGCAGCCTGACTTTCTTTTTATTTACAGAGCATCAGATTGCACATTCCCTAAGAGCTCTGATTCATCCCTCCCAAACCCTAGAACAAATACTCCAAAATCAGTCTACAGCATGGGGACAGGCTTTGTTCAGCGCTTTGAAAGAGAGCAGGTAAAGTCATTACCCTCACTTTGCATCGCAGAAGTGATATGCATAAAGCTGCACAGAACAACCCTGCAAAGCTCAAAGGAAACAAATGGGCGACTTGCACCATGAATTTCAATGGGACTTTGTGCCGCCAGGATAATAGCCAGCAAGACAGTGAAATATTGCACAGAGAGACAGTGGGCAGTAAAAACAAGTTCCACTTGCTAATGCAGTGGACTATCCTGCAATATCACATGGGGGGGAGATTGCAGAGCAATTGAGCAGGGGCACATGGAGCAGCCTGAGAGATTAGGGAGCACACTAGGGTGCAGGGCTGGAATAATTCAGGATGGGGTGTGAGGGTCTTCGAAGCACAGGGAATTATGCTGCAGCTTCTCACTGGAGCTGTCCCCTCAGCTTGAAGAGGTATTTATCCAGCTTGGCTTGGAGGCTGAATAGGTCTGAGGGCCTCCAGCCAATTTTTCACACGGGTTAGTTACAGCCCTTGGAGCACTCGACCTGCTGGGGGTCAGGCAGTGGCTGCACGATGGAGATCCGTAGCCAAGTTTCTTGTTATTATTCCCAACAACTGCCTTCACACCAATCCCTGGCTGCTGAACACAGCCTTGCCTCAGGTTGCCTCTGTGCTGTGGTCACAAGCAGGGCAGACAAGGGAGAGTCCGCAGGAGAAGGGGCTACAGGGAGCCCCAGCCAGGGATACAGCATCCACAACAGCATCTCAGCTCCATGGGGACGGTGCTCCAAAGCATCTCTGCTTCCTGTGAGCTCCCTGCTCTTCCCATCATCCTCCATGGGATACCCTGCAGGCCCTGGGCTCAGCAAAGTCTCTAAATATTGACTGGGAAAAATCATCCTCCCATTGGACATACGGAGTATAGGAGGCTTCCATGTAGCTTGATAACTCACCTGAGGCTGGAGTGGAGTGAATTAGCATCCTTTAAATTAAAGAGCTTTAAACAGCATCTTCTACCCAAATTGCTACTACATCCATTTCAGGAGTTACAGCAAACACTTTGCAAGTAGACCCAGAGGAAGAGGAAGGAGGAGGGAGAAAGCCAAGTCTGGTGTGGTGGGTAAGGGGCCAGGAGATGCCTGTTTGCACCAGAGGCAGCTGTGCTGTTATTGAGGCAAAGATGTTAAAGCAAGCAATTCCCTAAGGCACCCTAAACCTTTATAGACTGCTGATGGTGAAAGCAGTAAATGAAAGGACACCTTTGAGTGAGCACTCATGTGTTAAGCACTCTTGAAGGTTGTCCCCATGCAAAACAGAGTGTGTCTTTCAAGGCTATGTAACTCCACAGCAGATACAACAGATGAGGGGTGCTAAATCCAGACAGGAAAACCTCACCAGGACCTTCAAGATGCCCACAACAAGGGGAAATGGCAGTGCAATAGTCTGACTGCCACCATGGACACTAGCTACTGGTTCCTGTGCATGCCCACCTGGATATTTAAGGGTTAAATGATTTTTGGGCCAAAGGGAGATGGGGAGAAAGGAGAGAATAGCCAAGATGTGTCAATGAAGGTACAAGACAGGGTTGGCTGGGTCTTAGCCACGGCCACTTAAACTCTTTGGCTCTGAAAAGCAGAAAAAAGCTAAGATGGATGAAAGCAGTGGGCAAACTGAAATTCAGATGGGAATCCACCTCTCCAGTACACCAAATCTGGGATTAATAACACCATCTCAGCATCCTCTTTTATTTTAAGGCTGACCAGAGATCCATGAGCGTATTCAGGAAGAGATTTGGAAACGGGTACAGAATGAGTCACGCCGTGCCTCTCCTCTCCCCCAGCATCCCAGGAGCGCAGACCTCCTGGTCCTTCATCTTCTTCATCAAAACCCAGGCAGGCTGAGCACAGCCTTGAGATAAGAGTGTGAGGAGCAACTCTGCTCCATCCACACCGACCCGCAGCGACAGGACCCTGGTAATGTCCCCTTTCATGACACAACGTTCAAAATAGCACAGCACGAGGGGCCGCTGACTCAGAGGTACCCAGGTAAGGAAGGAGCTGCCGGGGAGCCTGCAAAGCTGCGACAAGACTGCAGTGACTACAGCCATCTAAAATAGCATTTGTCTCCACCGAGACTCACAAGCCCCTTGGGAGGGGAAGGACCTGTTATTCAGCAGTGCCGTCAGAGCCCAGGGGAATGGTTTGCTTGGAGAATGGGAGTTCAGAGGATTTTTGCAGCTTCCCCTCCCAGTCTCCATTTACCTCGCTGAATTCAAAGCAGTGTG